ACACACGAAATACTATTACACTAATATTTTACGTATATACGAAATATTATGAAATAAAATTAACAATATACATAATATTTATTCCATCGTCGTTTTCTTTTTTTTTTTTTTTTTTTTTTAACAATATTATACATAATTTAAGACATTATATTAAAGTAGAGTTTTAATAATATTAAATTTATACTTTTATATTTTGATATGATTTATATATTTTTTTTTTTCTAGATAAATGATAAATAATATCACATAGTTATGTAAAAATAACATTATTTCATTGCTCAACTATCCATAATAGATTAAATACATCAAATCTTATATTGCTTATTCGTTCTGTATTGCAGTATGATTCATCGATAATAAAATCACATTAGTATTTGTTCCTTCTACATATCATTAAATATTGATGAATATTTTATTCCTTTTTTTTTTTTTTTTAATTATTGAGGAATATTCTATCTTTTAATAATAACAATCGATTTATTAATTTTGATATATCGATTTATTTATTTATTTATTTTAATTTTAATCGCATTGAGTATAGAAAAAAAAAAGTCGATATAAAGTAAGAAAATGAAATACATTCATACAAAGAAAACTAAAGAATAATTAAGAATTGTGTTAAACAGAAGTTGAGCATTAAGCAATAGACTTGATGAAGAACTTTACATAATGCATATGTGATGTCTCCAAGATTCTCTTACAATTACTTTATTATAGGGATAGGGTCTTAGGATCCTATCTCTAGATCTATCTCTTAGGATCACTAGGAAACTCTTCGAAACACGTAAAATTTCGAAACTTTTTGTTTTTTTTTTTCCTTTTTTTCGTAATTTTCGTTTCGCAATTCGAAATTTTTTAAATTTCAATGATGAATAATTTACATAAAAATTAAATTTTTTTCAAGCTAAAAGGATAATATCTATGATTGATCGATTACGAACTTGAGTTTGAAGAATTAACATTTTTTAAAGAATTGTAATTCTTGACAAAATAGATAATAATAATGGCAATTGATTTAAAAAAAATAATTCTGAATTTCGAAAATTTCAAATTTTGCAAATTTGAAAATCAAGATTATCTCCATTTTTAATTAAAATGCATCTATGTTCTCTCCAAGATATTATTTCTTATCAAAAGGCTTATACAGTGATATCTGGTAATGTAATTGAACATAAATAAAAGCGTAATAAATTTTACATCTCGTTACATCTCAATAGATTTTTTCTGTTCACTATATTCAAACATAATAATGCTTTAAAGGAGAATTTTTAACGATAAGAAAACTTTTTTTTTTTTATTAAACAAACTAATTTTATTAACAAAAGTACGATAAAATATATTTATTTTCTTGCAATATTTTTATAAAAAAAGATATAAGGAAATTTGAAATTTATTTTGTTAAAAAAATATATATTTATTATTCATTATTTATGTTATTAAAATATAATATATAATTAATATATAACACGTAAGTATTATCATAATTGTCCTGCCAGAATCGAGCTTTTATAATTGTTAATTGAAATTAATTCAAAATAATACAAATAATAATTTTAATGCCACAATTTTAACGACCATGTTAAATTCAATCATTAATTATTATTACTATAATAATATCATTGTTATATAATTCTTTACACATTTTTTTACATACAATTATATTATAATTAACTTTTATATAATTTTTGCAACAAGTTTTAATAATTTTTTCTAATCGAGTTTTTTTTGTAATAAAATATTTGATATTTAATATACGACTTGTAATGCATTTTAACATTAATTAGTTCGCAAAAAATATCAGTTAACATTATATGAATATTCAAATCTATCTTTTTTTTAATATATTATAACTAATATTATCTCTTGTAGACTATAGATCTATGAATATTCATTTTATTTACAAATCTATAAGTCTTAAATCGAAATCTGCAAAAGAATAAATTAAGATGTTTTTAACAAAATTTATAATATTATGAAATAAAAATGTATATATAAAAGAGTATCATAAGTTATTAATAACATTTAATAATATATATATGCATAAAAGTTAAAAAAAAATTAAATGATGAAATAAATAATTAATAGATTATTTATTAAATATATATTTTTATTAAAAACAGTTTACTAAAAATTTGTTGTAAATAAATAAATGATATTAATATTCCATATAAGATTAAATTAATAACAATTTATTTATTATTTTATATTTAAGATGGCAACATTGAATAAAATGAAACGAAATATAACGATGTTTCTTTTTGCTATTTCTAATACCGAAATTAGAAATGTTGCAAACTATTTAAATATTTTTCTATTAATTTATTTTCGATAAATAATTATTTTATTGTGTGCATGTAATTATAATATTGAACGAAAAAATTCAAATTAAATTTTGAAATAGATTAAAGAATATTGTCATTTTATTTATTTGTTGAGATATATCAGTAAATTTAAAATTAATATAAAATTAAGAAAGAATATATTATAATTGATAACGTAGATAATAAAGATAAGAATTAAGAAATCGAAAATATAAAAATATGTTTTTGAAAAAAAAAAAAAAGAACGAAAAATGTAAATACGGCATCTTTATTATACAAATTATCTCTTGCATATTAATCTGAAAGATTGGAGACAAATTTTTTTCACTACAATACAAATATTAATTTTTTCACGTCGCCCTATTATAGCTATTTATTTCCTACTTGTATTTTACACGATTCTTTTTTTTTTTTTGCACGCATCCACTATGTAAAAAAGTATCTAAATGTATTTACTTTGTACAAATTGGATATTGTATTACATTGAATAAATTAAAATAAATTAAAATTAAAGAAATTAAAATGTCCCTAACATTCACCATCATGTCTCGATTACGCATTAACTGAAGAGAGGTCGCACGTCAAAGAAATTACGTTTAGGTGAAAGCGCAATCACACAAAGTTTCGGTTAACAGGTGTGCGTGTATCAACGAGCGCGCGCACATTCGAACATTTGTTTACGCAACTCGCAAAATCGAAGCGAGAATGGAATTTCGTAGGTCACGTTCCACGAGAGCGGTTCACCTTCGAGCAAGTTATTTTTTTTTTTTTTTCTCAATTGTGACTCCTTTCGATCACGTTTACCTTTCAACGTCTCGCGAATCGATTATGTACGCGGAAACATATCGATCGATTAAATTTTTTTACCCATTTTGTTCCAACTTTATCCATCTTTCTATCCTCGTTAGGCAAATATTCGACTCGATTATTCAATATCGATTAGACGCGCACGCACCATCGCGATTCCCACCATCGCCATTGATATCAAATCGAAAGGAATGCAACATTCTTTTGTTCTAATTTTTTGTATTCTCACGTAAAAGATAAACTTTGTTCTTCGTTGATCGATAGTAATAATGATGATGATGATGACGATAAAAAAGTCTTAAACAAATTAAATTTCACCACGATAAAGAAAATTCAAAAAGTATTTTTAAAACATGTAACATTTCCTCTCAATAATAACAATGTTTAATACGACTGTTTAACATTGATTTATCGAATCCTATTTAAAACAAAAATTTCGAAAAAAAAAAAATAATAACACTCGCTTGAGAACGAGAACGCTATTGCATACGTTTCGTGTTTCTTTCTCCCTATTTTTCTCTTCCCTCGTTCCATTCGTAACCATTCCCCACCTAACTCCTCCGAGGTGTCATGTGCCGTTGCGTTTCATCGCAAGGAAATCGATCGATCGATATATGAATAGTAATACGACTCTTCATGTTGCAAACTATGGAAATGTGAATACGCATGAATACGAATTCGCTTTGTTGAAATTGTTTGCACACGAAATAGCTTCGGGATACCGAGCCGAGATACATCACCCTCTACAGCGAATTTATTAAGTGGCCCTTAATTATTCTGAAATGCCAAACCCTATACAAAATCCATCTACGCATGCTAACCGGCAATTACTCGTGATTATATAAGATCATACGCTTCCTGCTCTTACTCGGAAGGTTTTACGCTTAGCGAACGAAACCAACTGTGAACATCATTTAAAATTGGTTCATTTGATCAATGTATGAAATCAAATAATTCTTCTATCAATTGTTTATCAATTTCTTTTTATCTTTCTGTATTAATTCCAACAAATAGACAATTATATAATCAGTCAATCAAAAATCGATCAAGATCCTGGAATCATATATATATATATATATATATAAATCACTCAATTTTTACAATCCTCCATCATAATTATTATCAGTATCTTTGATTCTTCCTGTTTTTCTCTTCCTCTCCTTCTTCGATAAAATTACTTTTCATTCTGATTTAATTATTCGTTACGAATAACATAGAATTATATCACGCATACGCAGCTTCGTTTGATATAGATCACATCAATCATCTAATATTATTATGTATACTTACTTTTTTCCAGCCATAATTCTAATTATTTTAAATGCACTTTGTTACACCTTATTTTTCAAGCGATTTCTGATGCAAATCACACTTATGGAATTTTTATCAACTTTCTGTTTTTATCACAGTATTCGTTATTAAATGAAATAGATTTATCGAGAAACGAGAAGTAATCCGCTACGATTCCCGTTCGAAACCCATAATCTTCGAGTGAAAGTAAACGAGACGTTGGCTCGAGCCCGAACTCGACCGATTTTCATTTAAAACTTCTTTCATCGAATTTGATCCGATATATAATCCGAATTCAAAAGATGATGGACCTAACCCGATACGACGACAACTACGACGTAACACCATGAATCATCGCAATCTAACCATACGAGATGATACGTTCACCAAATTGAATTAAAAAACGCACCAAACGTGACGACGCTCGTGGTGCCGGTAACATCTTTAACGATTTCATTAATATACTTTCATATGGTACGAAACAATTTCACGTGATCCCGCCATCTAACATAAATTGTTTTTGATAAATTATATTTCTTCGAATACATCCTTATTTACGTTTATTTTCTATCAATTACTTACACCATCGTTTAAGAAATCCACCTTGGAGTTTCGCGCAAATCCCACGATGTACTCTCATCTTGATCAACCAATTATTCTCAATTTACGTTCACTTTTTCTCTTCCTTTCTTCTTTCTTCGTCCCTTCCTCTCTCGTCCTTTCTCTTTTCGTTTCCCAATTTCTTATATTTTGATCTTTTCTCTCTCTCTCTCTCTCTCTGTTATAACCTGCACCTCACCTCTTTTTAATCTTATTCGAAAGTAATCAAGGATCACCACACGATTCTTTTAATTTTATCCGTTTTAATTTTTTCTCGATTTAGTTCTCGCGCTACCGTTTTTCTACGTTATCGTTTTCCTTTTCGTTTTGATCTTCCTTCTAGCTTTGCTTCTTGGCCTCGTCCTCTCCCTCGTTCCCGTCCTCGTCCTCGTCCTCGTCACCCACGTCGTCTTCGTCGTCTTCGTTATCGTTGTCGTCGTCGTCGTCGTCGTCGTTGTCGTCGTCGTCGTCGTCAATGTTATCTTTCAAGCCTTTGATTGCAATTCTTCCCGTACAAGAACGAGACGAAAGGCGGCGGTGGTACGAGGAACGACGAGAAGGAGAAAGTCTATTCTCCTTTCCAAGCGACAAGTGTGCCACTGGCGGTGCGTCGCGTCGCCAATGAACAAACGATACTGCCCCGTTCAACGGTAGACGATCTCTACGCAAAATACGCAGCCTAACGCGGCCAAACGATCATCTACCTTTCCCCTGGCCTCCCGGTAAACCTGCGTATTCCGTTTATACGTAGGATCACCGCACGACAACGGTAACCAACCTCGACCGATTCCTTCTTACGTTCCTCGATGAACAAGCTTCGATTCTCTCTTGTTACGCGTTCAAATACTCTGGTTTACGAACGCGCGTGCGCGCGCGCGCGCGCGATAAAAACGAGCGAATACGAGCGAGTCGATCGTGTATCGATAAAATTCAACTTCAACCCTTCGAATACATATACTATACGTAAAATCGATTTACATTCATATAATAATCACGAGAGAAATTAAAACTCTATCGGATTCGGTGCAAAATCGAATAGAATTTCCTCTTCTCTCGCTATACGAAATGTTCGCTACAAAGTCACTCGAAACACTACGCGGCAGCGAACCGAACGTACCACTCTTTTACCGTTCCACTGCATCCTGAACGGCATGCTCGCCGTTCAGGTAAACGATTTATCATTACCCCACTCTTTCTTTTCCACTTCTCCACTCCACGCTTCCTTCTTCGTTTATTCTCCATTCTTCCCCTCCGTTTCTCTGTTCCTCTCATTCTCTATTTCTATTCTTCTTTACATCGTCATATTCGTCTCCATCCTCCTCACTTTTACGCCTTGCCTACATTCCCCCACCTCTATTACGATTCTATACTAACCAATTTCTTTCTTTCTCACTCTTCACTTCGCATACTATATCTTCTTTACTGTCACTATTCTGTTCTTTTTTTCTCGCCTAGTGCTTCATTTTCCTTCATTATTCTCTATTTTTACTGAATACTCGTATATCATCTACGACTTTTTGATCAAATCTTGACGAATCATTTTTATTACGCTACTTATTGCACTCTATCCTAATTCATCATTCTTTCTTAATTCCTCCGTTTGTAAATATCGTTCATTTTTTATTAATCTTAAAGTTAATAACTTTTTCTTTTCTTTCAATAAAGCCAAATTTTTATTTTCTTCTTTTTTCAAGTCTTGAAAATTTGATATGTACTTGCGCATTTTATGCTCTAAGATAATTCAACAAATTTATGTGCAATAATGAAATGACAATGATCAAAACATGACAATGATAATAATATTTTTTATTTTAATGAAAAATATAAACTAATAGATCATAATATTCAATTCAAATAGATGAGAAGGAAGAAGGAAAAAAGAGAATGACGCGCAGAAAATGTGATTTAAACGTTTGTTCGTTTTATCATGTAAACAATAATATAATTGTTATCAAATAATTGTGTATAATAAATATTTACCCTTGTTCGAGACATGATGGGTTCATGAATAACAAAAACCTTGATCCTTTGAAAATTAATCCCTGTAATTTCGCAAAAATGGAAAGACATTTCCGGACATCTCCAACAATCTGGAAATGACCGTGATAAAGTTAAATTATTCATAGAATAGTGCTTCTTCAAATATATTACGTAAATGATGAACATCATTCACGCTACAAATCCTGTTACTATGTATATTACTTTATCTGTGTGTATATCTCAAGATTTTAATATTCTTGTTCTTCTTCCTCATTCTCTTTTTATTTTTGCCAATTTTATTCTTTAATTCTTTCCGTTTATCTGTTTAAGACAATCTTCATCTCCAGCATGAAATAATAATAATAGATCTTTTCGATTACAAGCTATATTATATAAGATTAAGGATATCGGGTAAAGGTCAATATACTATGATTTCGATCTAAGTAATAACGAATACATTTTATTATATTTTTTTCTCTCTCTCATCTATACATGTTTTCTATGTCGTACAGAATAGAAAACAGCATTCACGAAATTTTCTATGTACGAAGTACGTCTAGTGAGAGTAACAAGTAAACAAGTTATCTATCAATTTCACCAAATACCACATCCAAGGTACCGATAATAGCTACGATATCAGCAAGTAAGCATCCCGGACCCATGTGACGCATTGCTGCCAAATGAGCAAAACCCGGTGCTTTGATTTTGCACCTATAAGGCTTGCTACTACCATCGCTTACGAGATACACGCCAAATTCACCTTTTGGTGCTTCGATCGCAGTATATGTTGATCCAGGAGGCACTTGGAATCCTTGAGTATACAATTTGAAATGATGTATCAATGCTTCCATGCTGGTTTTCATTTCTTCTCTTCTAGGTGGTACGATTTTTGCATCATCGATTCTCACTTCACCCTCTGGCATTTGATTCAAGCATTGATAAATGATTCGTAATGATTGACGCATCTCCTCCATGCGGCAAAGATATCTAAAAAAAAATGTGATTTATCATGAAACAAAAAGAAATCTAAAAGAAATTTTTCTCTTTCGAGAAAACGATAGATTTAAATAAACAACTTTTAACGTTTTTACATTTTTCATTTTTATTACCGATCGTAGCAATCTCCTTTTAAGCCAATTGGAACATCAAATTCGACCAAATCATAAGCATCGTAAGGTGTCTTTTTCCTTATATCCCATTGAATTCCGGAACCTCTTAACATTACTCCGCTGAAACCCCACTCTATTGCCTGTTCTGCCGTCACTATTCCAACATCTTTTGTACGTCCAGTCCATACTCTGTTTTCTGTTAGCAAATCTTCTACTTCGTCTAATCGGAAAGCGAATTTTGAAGCCCATTCATATATGTCGTCCATTAAACCCAATGGCATATCCAATGAAACACCACCAGGACGAATATAAGCCGCATGCATGCGAGCACCACTCACACGTTCATAAAATTCCATTAATTTTTCTCGTTCTTCAAATAACCAAAAGAATGGTGTTAGAGCTCCAATATCAAGGGCATGCGTTCCAATATTCATAATATGATTTAGAATTCTTGTAATCTCGGCAAATAAAGCTGAAACATATGAATATCTTTATTTAGTTTATTATCATTTTTCTATCGTAATAGTATATTATATTATTTTTCTATTTTACTATTTGTTCTCTCCCCCCCCCCCTCTCTCTCTTTCTCTTCTTTAATTCTTTCACTGTAAATTTTAAATCTTTCATCAATCATGTTATCGATGAATATCTACTACTTACTTCTAATATATTTTGCTCGCAAGGGTATATCAATATTTAATAGTTTCTCAATAGCCATAGAAAAACATTGTTCATTGCACATCATGGATACATAATCCAAACGATCAAAATATGGTAAGGCTTGCATATATGTTTTATATTCTACCAATTTTTCTGTACCCCGATGTAAAAGACCTATATGAGGATCAGCGCGAGTTACATATTCAGAATTCATCTCAATTAGCAATCGTAATACCCCATGTGCAGCTGGATGTTGGGGGCCAAAATTAATCACTACATTTCGAAATTCCGGTGCTAGTTGCACAGATGTTGTTTGTGGTTCATTCCAACTTGGCTTGATAAAAGGCCATGACTTCTCTTTTGTAGCTAATATCTTAGTACAATCTTGTTTTAAAAGATGTCTATATTCGTCTATATCAGGCATCCATTGATGCGCTTCTCGTTGACTGCAACATGTATTTCCACTTTTTATTTCAAGTTCTTTTTATAATTTAGAATAACTATTTCTTATAGGTTATGATATCATTATATAACCAAACATATAAATGAATTTAATAATTTTGAATTTAATTAAGCTAACCTTACCTTTCGATATTAACCAAGGGTTTAATTCCGTTACTAGTAACAACATTTTCGTTCAATGTTCTGAGCAACAGATTATTAGAACGAAGAAAAGGTCCTAATGCTCTGACAGCCATTCTCACTTTTAATTGCGTCGCTTCAATACACTCCTCTCTTCTCCTCTTTTCTGTTTTCTCTTACATGTAATATTATTTTTGTTATTGTTATAAATATCTACTACTGTTAACCACCTACTAGCTTTCTGCCAACATTCTCTATACTATTCTCAATTCGTAGTGCTTTAAATCGATTTAATTTCATTCTTACTTGACTTAATTCGATTCGATATTTCGATTCATCGCAATATTCCTCGATGATGCACATGGTGCCCTCTCGTGTCATTTTACAATTTTTCTTTTTCGAAATTTCTCTTTATTTTATAAATATTTTGCATTGTTTATACCTGTAACGATACATGTATATTTTATACAATAAAACTAGTATAAATATTATTTATCGTAATATATACAAATAAATATTCGTGATATTTAACTAAATATGTATATCAATTTATTTTAAACAACAAAGAGCATTAAAATCAATAAATATGAAAGATTTCAGATATTATTTTATTAAAAATATCATAAGTTTTGTAAATATAAATATATTAAATTCATAAACATAAAAGTTTCACAAAAAAATATTGCATGATTATCGATAATCACACAAATTTAAGTTACAAATAAATTCAAATAAATTATAAATATTAATATTGTAATGGTAACAAATATATCAATCTTTAGTATATTTATCATTTCATTTTGCATCATTGTCTTTTAGCAATTTACGACATCTCTTAACCAATCTCCTATTGCAGTAATAAATATGAAGTAATAAAAAAAAAGTTGCCAAAAATAATTTCAATCTTTCATTTTTAACTTTTTAAAAATACTCCTTTATATACATATGTGTATATACTCATACGTAGAAACACATAATAAATTTATAATAATAATTCTTGCTTCTGTTATATGGAAAAAGAAAAAAATAAAAGTAGTAATACGTATACATATATGTATCGAAATTGGCATTAAAGATAAATTGCGCGTATAATTTCCACACTGTGAATTAAAATCATGATGCAATGATTGCGAATGCTTTGACGCGGGTCACCGTATCGAGGTTGCTATTTCGAGGATAGAACAAGATAGTATAAGATGAAGTAGTTGAGAATGAATCGACGTCATACTTTACCGGCCAACATTCTATGCGTTGCGATTTTATGGCCAATGATAATTATGTATATTGTATAATGTTGTATATTGTTATACACATTAATATCTTTTCTGCATCCATGCTTTTTTTTCCTCGTACAAGTAAGATTTACTTTTCATCAATTTCTTATCTACTACATTTCTTTTATTGAACATTTTGAGAATTTTAATCACATTATACGAAAAAACATATTCGTAATTCTAAATAAGACGATTTTTTCATCGTTCATTTTTTCATTATATGTATATACATATATATAAATACATATGCAAACGCAGAGATAATAGAATTCTTTGTTTATTTTTTCTTCATCTCTTGACACTTAACAAGCACCAAGTGTATACAAAATATGTATGTACAATAATACACGTTGAAAATACCTACGCGTACGATACACAAATGCACACGCACATACATTCATACAGAGGGACAGAATCATCCGCTCATTCATATAAACGTCCTTATTTTTATTTATGTGGACGCGCACAACTTCGCGAATATTAGCGTGTGTTCTAAATAAAGGTACAAAAAGTGTCGTGGACAAGTCTCGTTTCAAAAATCGTTACTTCGAGAAAAGAAGAATAAAGACGACGTAAAAAGCACGAATATAATGGTCGACATAAAATTCATACGTTGTCAAAAAATATTCATCAAAAATTCATTTGTATAAATAAATAGAATATTTGAGATTGTGCATGTGTATCTCCTTATTAATTCTGATCGAACGAGAAGCGCATCTACGCTCGGATTTAAAATATTCACATACTATAGTTAAGTATGTAATATACAAATTGACATTAATCATTATAAATATCGAACACGATAAATAACGTGTTCCGATGAAATTAATACTTGCCTTGAAACTCTTGTTATACATATTTATTCGTTCACAACTCGACTGCGAGTCGTATTACAGTATAAATAAATTCGTTTCATTTCTGCTAGAGACAAGGTGTAGACGAATGATGGCTAATGGAAAACGAATATTATTTCAATATATTATACATATAAAAAAAGGTGCACGAGCGTGTAACGAATAAATACTGTGTAGTAAGAGATAACGAAGGAGAATGTCAACGGTTGACAGTTGAACGAGCAAGGAGAAGGAACACTGGCGTCATTCGAAAACTCGATCGATTATCAATTATCTCAATGAAAATCGTAGAGAAGGTAGCGATGCAGCGACTGAGGCAGCTGTAATTTTCGTACAATCTTGGGCAACTTGGTGCCGCAAAGCTTGCGCACTATCAATCTTGCTTGGTGGGTCAGAGGCAACGGTGTTCGCGCCGCTTCCATCACAAGTTCTTTTTGCGCGTCTGTCAAACTGCTCGATCGTCTTATCATGCAAGGATCGAAACTTTCCGCCGCTTCCAACAACGCCTTGAGCAACCGTGGCTTATCCGCCGTGTTCTGGAGAGAGTTCAGTATGCCGTGAGGATCGCGGAACTGCGTCTTGATGACAACTCGTGCGCCATATTTAAGCAACAGGGCTACCACCTCTACCGACGGATTCTCGTTCGAAGCGACATACTCGGCGAGAACTGGCCGCAATGCCGGCCCTTCGTCGCTACGTATCACCAAGTTCGGGTCCGCTCCTCGCTCCAACAACATCGATAAAATCTCCAATCTGTTCGGAATGTTGTCCGCGCAAGCAACGTGAAGGGGCGAGCCAATGATTGGCGAAGTAGCATTTACGTCAGCGCCTAAATTTGAAATCGTTTAATTAGTATGTTAACCAAAACACGCTCATAGTGGTGGTATATAACGAATCATCATTCTCGATCTTTGTCCCGAATCTTCTCACACTTGTGTGAAAGACTCGAAATGGCTATATATTATATATTTGTCCGGAATTTATTATTTTGAAAATTAAATATGTAAATATCAAATATTTCTATTTTATAATTGTTAAAAGATTCGGAATAGAATAGGTGTTTGTTCAATTAGATCAAGTTACTAAGTGATCTTAGTAACTTATGAATTTAAAAGATTTTGCTTCTTTTTTCGTTTTTTATTATAATTAAGAAAAAAGTAAATAAATTTATCATCTATAAGTAAATCTACATATTTATGAATTAAATTAAAAATTGAAATTCGTTTTATTAAACGGTCTTTTCGAATTTTAAATTGAAAATGAAATTACTGATATAAATATATATAAATAATGGGAGTTTAAATCGCGTTGATTATTTAAGATTAAAAATTCTTGAAAATCTTGATTGATCGTGAAAGATTATTTAATCCTTTTAGAAGTTTTAAAAATATACATTGAAAAAAGATTCTCAATACGTAGAATTTCGAAATTCTTGAATATTTATCCTATTTTTTATTTGCATTGTCTATTTCTCATTCTTATCCTTTATGCAGGCATGGTAGATAACTTTAGATATTGAATAAGATAAAATAAAAGTTTCCAGTCTTTCATGAGTTTTGAATCCATCAAAACTTTCATGGCCTACGAGATTTTTTTAAACTTGAAAATCACATTTTAGTGATGATTCGAATTTATTCCTTGTTATATAATATTCATTCGAAACAAATCGAAGTTTCTCAAGATTGTGAATTCATTCAAATTATTTCCAACATAATTCAAAGTCTTGAAAATCTTGATATTCGATATTAATTAATTGGATTAATTTTCAGCACAAAATTTTCAAAATAAAATTATATAAGTATATATAATATAAAAAAAAATTGAATTATATATCAAGTATATAAGTATATATAAGTTCAACGAAAAAAGATAAAAATCAGTGTAAATATTATGTATAAGAAGATTTTCTTTGTCAAAAAAATAAGATCATTTTTCAATAATATATATGTATATATGTATATATAATAATACAAATAAAATTATATATGTGATAGAAAAAAGATTGCACGTTTAAATTTAACATAAAAAAGTGACTATTGGCATTACAAATTAAATTATGAAATGTCTAAAAAATTAATGAAACTACTTTCAATTTTCCTAATATTATAAAAATGTTATTTTCAAATCAAAATGTATATTTCTATTTCATATTTCAATTTGATTAAATTTTAATTTCAATTTAATTTTAAATGATTAAATTAAATTTGGCCAAATTTCTATGATGCCATGATTCTATTCAAATTTTTAACATGACTGTTTTTTTTCTTCTTAAAAATAAAAAATTTTATGATTCCATTTCAAGAAATTGTTATTTTGGAGTAATGGGCAACATCCAGATGGATTGTAAGTAAGCAAATTAAATATAGTTTCAGTAGAAATGTTTGAGCACTGCTGTCAAAACTGGAAACTATGTCTTCATCAATGTCGTCACAAATGTGCAATTTGATAATTTATGGAAGTTTGTAATTTAAATGTAAAATATAAAAAGACAATTGCATCGAGATGAATTTGCATTTTTCATATGCCAATTATTGAACTTCAAAGTTCAATTTAATTATAAAATATTGTTTTATTGTAAACTGAAAATAAAAAAACAATCTTGATCTTATGATCTTATTCAAACAGAGAATTTACACATAGTATACAAGTACTAGAATTTACAGAAGTTTCTGGCATAAAGCAAATCATATATTTTTCATAAAGGAAAATATCCACATTCTAATATCAGCTTCTTTCTACTTTTTAAACAATCATATCATATACTTTCAGTGGATCATTTCGTTGCAACTTAACATTTCATATTTATTAAAATTGTAAGTAAGAACAACAGGATCAACTGCATATCCATGAAAAATCAATGAATATGAAATCTATTAGTTACACATATATATGATGTTAGTAATGTTTTTTGTTATTTGCATGGTGATGATTTGAGAAAGATGTAATTTGGTTTATTTTTCATTGATATTAAATTTTCTTATAATTTTTCAAACATGCGTATATTTCCTTATTAATCACAAATTATCTTGTAAAATAAATCATATAATCAAGTAATAAAAGGAGATTAACAAATAAGAAGATTAAAGAAGATTAATCAAATTAAGAAAATTAACAAATTATTTGATTGATAGATTGTTTTTTTATAATTATATATCAAGTATTATAATCAAATGACTTGATGATTCTCATTGATAAAAAAAAATTGGTTCTTTCAATGATATCAAGAGCTATCTAGAATATTTTTTAAATATTTAAGTCAAAGTATCACTTCGATTACTATTTTGAAAAATAAAATTATGAAAATCTTAGAAAAATAAATTTGCATATATAATGAAAAAATAAAAAAACTTTTTAAATAATATATAATATATTCCTAAAATATTTTTAAAAAGTTGATTCTAAAAAATAAAAAAACAGCATAAAAGTTGGTATACAAAAATATCGAGAATTATTAAGACTTATTTATTAAATCATAATTCAAGATTGTCTTAAATAAAATACACTGAATAATATAATTTCATTTAAACTTGAATTGTTATAATAAGCCTTAACCGTTTCAAAATTTTTGCATACTAATTTTTGCCAACTATATAATCAACCTTCTGAAGATATCCTATGAATATATTAACATTCTATATATATATACATATATATATATATATACACATTGTATTACATATATAATGTTGTTATATTAATGTTTTATTTATTTCATGAGGTTTTAATTGATTTGATTATTAGTTTTATTATAATTAATATAATTTGAAGGATTATGCAGATTTGTTACAAGTAAATCACAATCTCTACTTGAATGCAAATTTTTCAGGGTGTGTTCAGATAAATATAACTGCAAAATATTGAATATTATCATCCTATTAATATCATTCAATTAACATACATAAATAACTGGCTTGTAATATCTCCAAGTATCTATTTTACATATAAATGATTGTAATTAAAGTAATATCATGAAAATGAATAGATACATATATCAATTTTGTTAAAAACATTTTCATATTCTCATTAATCATAAAAATAGAAAATAGGAAATCTGGAAATATTTTAATGTTTCCATTTAAATAGAACAAAAAATTTAATATTAAACTCACCCGATTCCAACAGTTTTTGAACGATCGAGGGATCTCCTTTCAGTATCGCCAGATCGAGAGCCGTCGGTTTCTGATATTCGGGACCAAGGTCGAGTCGAGCGCCTTGCTTCAACAACAAATCGATAACCGTCGGATCACCGCCTAGGATCGCATAATGGAGGACGGTCCGGTAGTCGTGTCGCACGTCAGCCATCGAGTTAACGTCCGCCCCGTAGCTCAACAGAAGCAGCACAGAAGCTATGCCCTGGCGCGAATATACACGTTCTCATCTTGTGTATCTTTACATCTAAGTATATCTTTCATCATTATTCGAAGAGTTCAGAAGTCAATCAGAAGTGTAAACCACATTTTTTGGAAACGACTTATTGAAAAATCACTTTATCGTTTAAATTTTCAAATCGGTTGAGCCGAAACTATACTATCGAAGTTCTTATTCATTTAACTTTTTGTCTAAATTGTGTTATACTCGTCGTATGTGTTATGCTCGTCACGCGTACAGCTTAAACAGATTAAATCGATCGATCAATTGAAAATTTGAGAATAAAGGGATTTTTGAGCCGTTCGAGTCATTTATAAGATCGAATGTCATGCACACTGATTGGCTTCTGGATCCTCCATTCATTCTCTCCATCGATCATTCTACCTGAGGCAGCCTTGCTGCTTTCATCAATGGCGTCAGCCCAGCACGGTCTCGTGTATTCGGTTGAGCCCCGAAAGCTAATAATAATTCCATGCATTGTAGATCCACCGGAGAGACTAGATTAATCTCCGATCCGAAGAAGTACCTTTTGTTCGGATTCGCGCCGGCTTCCAGCAGGATTCTGGCCACTTCGACGTGTCGATTTCTCAAAGCGAGCCGCAACGGTTCGTCGCACAACGTTGTCCTGCGCAGCAGATATGCATGCAATGATTCACGGATCTACAATGATTTCTCGTTAATGTTCGAACGTTGCAGTGTGCAATGAACTTTAAATGTGTTGTCGAGATTAATATTTTGAATTTTGCTTATGCGTATGATCATTGTTCGATCTAGATTGCGAGGTATTTGCAAAAAGATATATTTTTAAAAAAAAAAGGTACACTTTTAGAGAATTTTAATTGCAGAGGTTAGAACGAACAGAAAAGTTAGTAAAAATGTTGATCGAGATTTATTTATTAAGTTATAAGCAAAATTTAAATTATGAGCATTAAAGAGAGAAATAGTGTGAGACAGTTTGATCCAACGCAAATTTAAATTGTTTATAAGTAAATATATAAAAAATATATATAAAAGTCTTAACTGACATTTTTATATATTAACTTTTATACTTATTTTTTCTAGAATTGATTTAAATCATCTTTTACTACATATATACATATAGTAAAAATAAAATATATAAAATGGAACAAAACGTAAAATTAATTGTATGATATGATATATGTATAACATATATTTATGTATGATTTATAAAATTAATTTTAAAAAAATGTAAAATTAATACATTTAATTTTGATCAGATTTTTTTCTTCAAAATATAAACTACTATATTATGTATATGCTACGAAGTAGTTATTTATATTAGAATAACTATATATTAGAATTAATTCAAGTTCAATATTAATATATAAGATGTTAGAAAACTACATTAATATTAATAAAACATTTTTTCACTAATAACTCTCTAATAAACAATGAGCGATTAAAATTTTCTTAAATAATAAATAATAAGTAAATAGAAAGATAATCTCTATATATAAATGTTAAGATTAAAATTATTTGAAATTGAATTCTCGTAATTATATAATATTTATCTATGTAATATTTAAAAATAATTTTTGATATCTTGGAAACTAAAGGTGGCAGTATTAAAACACTGAAAATGCGAATTATTTACATCTATTAATATAAGCAATTTTTGCGATAGGAAGAAAAATTTATTATATATTATTATATATTATGTTTATACATTATAAAATAACTAAAAATTAAATAATTTTCAAATTTATTACAATCTTTATTATATTCTTATTAAGAAAAATGCATTATAAAAAAATTAATCATTTTTAAGTATCGTCTCAGGATACATACATCAAACGTGCAAATATTGTTAAGACGCGTTTATCAGCAAATTGTTCACAAACATTATTTACCTTATACACTATTGTTTATGACACCGGAAAATATAGTTTACGAATTATTGTTCATAGATTCAATCTATGAATTAGTTTAAATACTATATTCGAATAATAATTGATTATTTAAAATAACCAAACTTTGAACAATTGATTCTACTGGGAAAAACTGTTAAGAATATTGTTCCTATTAGCACATTGATTTCAAAGTCATTGAAATTAATAAAGTTTTTGTAATTATTATAATTATATTATATTATAATTATACTATAATTAAATCCAAAATTTAATTCACTACTTTACATTAAATCATTCGTTATTCTAATTTAAACATTTGTAATGTTTCATTTAGTAAGATGATATTGTAATTTTTCAATCATCAAGTTACTTTAAAATATTTATAAAAAAAATAATAAACTTGGAAGAAAAAAATAATTTATCGATCACGAAACGCAAGTATTTCGGGCATAGTCTACAAGAGATATCATTCCTTGATCAAGAAATTCTCTCACATGTTGATTACTATTCTAACCTCACTTTACTTTACTGTCATTCATTCAAATTGTTTCAACATTATTTGGCAAATACGCATTTTCAAACATGTATAATAAAATATCGATGATATCATTTAAGAATTGTTTAAAAAATAGAACAAATTTTCGAAAATAATGTAATTATTTCAAAGAATAATAATTGTACGATTTCATTATAAATTCGATTCAAAATAAATAGTAAGGTTATTTTGAGAAGATACCGAATTAACTTCTAGATCTAATATGAGATATATGCTAAATTACGTAGGACATATGCATTCAATAAATACATTCATACTATTATACATACATATATATAAGTATATGTATCTACATTTAGAAAGTATTAATATAATTTTATTACGTACTTATATATATTTATCGTAATTTGCGTTATATGTATAAAAATAAGTTTTTCAAGATTTTCTATCATAAATTGATATCATCTAACAATATTAAAAAAAATTATTTATAAACTTCTAAAATAAAAAATATTTTAAATAATCTATCTATATATTTATTAATAATTTATTTATTGATTTTTAATATATTAAAACATTCGTTGTAATTAGTATATAATAATTAATTTTATTAATTATTTTATTTAATGCATATATTTTTTGTACAATAAAGAATAAATTAAATAATAATAAAATTTAATATTGAAAATTATTTGAACAATGAGTAAATTATATAAATTTTATGTTTATTTTTATAAATAAAATATAACGATTTTTAATAACATGTAAACATTTCTATCTGAATAATTTTACCATTATTATATTTCTTTATCATTGTTGTTATTGAATTTATATCTTATTATACAAAAAATTATGTGTTATATATTATTATAATTAATATTAAAAACATTAATTTATGTTTCAAATTTATTAATTAAATTTAATAATATTAAATTTATGCTTTAAAATAAAAGATTTTTTTTTCTTTAAAAGATTCAATAACATATTATAAGCATATATATACATATATTATAGGATGTAAATATATTTATCTGGAATCGAGTTTTCAGTCCATTCTGTTAGAACAAACATAAAATTTAGGTTAGATTAGGTTAACATACAAAAAAAATGTCGATTTAGGTTTGTTTATTAATTTATAAATAATTCTGACTGAGTATCCATTTGTTGCATATTCGCATCTCACATCATTATTCTGATATTAATATAAACGTTATTAAAATATGATACGAAAATATACAAAAATACATATTCATTTATTTCATATCCTTATAACATATTATCATTCCGATAATATGGATAAAATATTACGCGTTGCATATCAAAATGTGGCAAAAAAGATATGCAAATCGATCTGTCATTTGTTTTTTTTCCATCATTATATTAAAGAGTGATCATGTTGAAGTAAAAAAACAAAATGATAAAAAATATCATTATACACAATTAATATAATTATGATGTAAACAATTGTTTATAAATTTATGAATTTAATCTTCTTAAATTTTTATTATATTGCAATTTATATATAAATTTCCAAATTTCAAAAACAATTTATTCTCAAATCAAACATCAATTGTCAATTAATATAATTTAATGTTACACAATTTCCAATTTTATTTTCATTTGCTAATTGGCACTTCAATTTTATAGTAGACCGTCAATAGAATATACATATAGTTTTAAAAAATTGATTAAAAATCTTTTTTACACATTTTTTTCTAAAAAAATTATGAAGCAGTTTAATTAATTAATCGTATAAACAAATTCTTTATTTTCTAAATTTAACTAAAACAGTGAGAATATATGTTCTAACATCTAAAAATGAAATTAAAAAATTGTTAATATTATTGATTCTCACAAAAATTATATTTCACAAAAGAAGAACATTATTTAATATTATTATTAATTTTTCGGTAAATATATAGAAGACATTAGATTAACTTTATTTTTTTTTCTTTCAATGAAATCATATAACTCTTAATTAACATCAATTGATATATTATTAATCTATTTTCAATAAAGAATTGTTTTTATAAAAAATATTTTAATTTGAATTTCATAGAAATTATATAAAAAACGAGAAAAGCATGAACAACTTAATGAAACGAAGTCATTGTTAGCTCAAAAAATAAACTCATTATAATTACATCACGTAATAATACGTAACAAATGAATACGAAATGTTGCGAGATAGAATAATAAAATGATGTGACAGTATATAGTCTCATCTCACTTTATTGATGTCTCATTTCGTCTAATAGCAAACAAATGAATTGCTTATAATTTAATGAGATAAACTTTAATCGACATTTTTTGTTTTTTATGTTTGTTTTTGAGATCCCTTGAGAATTGAGATTTCAAAAATGAATGTATTACCATCTCGTAGCAATAATCTTTAGCAATAATCTTTCATACTTTAATGTCCAAATATTAACAACATTGTATCATTGTATCATTCTCTCTCACGCTATTATTGCTATCTGCTTTTCTTTACATACTATTTCTTTTATTCCCTTTCTCTTCCTCTCTTGCCTCTAATATTAAGTCGTTCCACTCTTTTCCTTTTCTATGTCCCTTCTGTCTTGATCGTCCCTCCTCTCACCCTCCTCTCGATTATTTCTTAACACGGATAAAAATAAACAGCGACAAGAAAATTTCACGCATGTATACAATGATAATTAAAAGAAACGGCTACATAACGATTTATATATAATAGCAAGTATCGTTAATTTTTGGCACGCATTCACAAGGTCGGCAAGACCGGACGATTAATTTCTAAACTGAAGTGGTCGAGTATCGAGTTTCGAGTTATATCGATATCGACAAGTGGTCGTGATCCGCGCAGCGAAAATGTCAAGGAACATATCGAGACAAAGAAGGAAGATCACAATTGGGAATGGAAACGGGTACGAGTTAGAGAAGAAGAGAAAGAAAGTGCGAAGAAAATCGAAAAGAAAGGAACGCGGAAAGCGATATCGTACCTTGGAAAGAGTTCTCCCGTTTCCTCTCTATGATCGACTTTTGCACCCTGCTCAAGCAACAATTTGACCAAATCGAAGTAACCGTGCTCGGCGGCAAGATGCAATGCCGAATAGCCACATTCGTCGGTCGCATCGATGTCCGCGCCACGTACCAACAACAGCTGGGCCGCCTCTGTGTACCTCTGCCATACCGCGTAATGTAACGGTCTCAGGCCTTGGGTCACAGGCTCGTTCACCTTTGCCCCGCACGCCAGTAAGATTCGAATCTCGTCGAGCGATTGTAACCGAATAATGGCATCGGCCAACTCACGCTGCAATGGATTGGCGATGCATTCGGAAGGCATCTGTTAAAATCACGTTAAAATCGAAGAAAAATGGAAGAATTAACTTTGTTATGTTTATATGTTATACAGGGTGTCCTAGAAATGTGGGAACATCCGTTAAGTGGAGATTTGAGGTAATTTCAAGCAATATTTTTTGTAAAAAATTTTTTCTTTGACATATGTTATTTGAACTTATTCGTGTTCAGCATATAGCCAATGCTGCCATCGTGGCTACACGCTCTGTGATTGGCCAGTGTTTTTCGTTAAACTCAGAAATCTCCAATTAATTGATATTCCCATTTTTGAGACATACTACTTTATATACTATATATAAGTGATAGCTACCAAAGATAGAAAAAAATTTTAACTATTGAAATTAAGAATAAAGTTACTTCAATAAGTTATTTATATAATTTATTATTCAAAGCATCTAATAATTGCAATTAACTGTAGCGCTAATTACTTGAAATTAAACAAAGAATATAATAATTAAGATGTTATTCGAGAATTTTAAATAAAGTTATTACTTAAACTTTATTCGAAATTTCAATTAATTAACTTTTCAATCTATTAATGTGTAATCCTTTGATAGCCAGTAAAGATAGTCACCTGTCAATTTGTATAGTATTTCGAAATTTATAAAATAAGTTAGAAAGAATATTTTTTTTGCACATAAATGTATTTTTTTTTTGTTTCTTCTTGCATATTATAGCTGATATTAAAACGCATGATAATAATGGCACGATCTTGGAATAATCTTTCACTTCCAAAATTAAAATTATATATTCAAAATTTCTATCGATATTATTTTAAATAGCGAGAATTTATAGATATAAAAAAAAAATAAATATTATTCAAAAAATTGGAACATTATTATTATTAAATTTGTAAGCTGTATATCACTATTTTTTTTCCAATTACAATATTATATCAAATATTAAGAATAATATGTCTTTATATTAAAAAAGATATTTAGAATTTGTGTATAAATTTGAAAATCATCGAAAGATCATTAGAATCTATTATATCGAACAATACATCTATGGAAAAACATCATTTTGACATGAGATTGAAACTGATAATTGAAAAAGATAGATCACTTCAAACTTATATTATTATCTCATTCTAGTATCAATATCATACATGCAAGAGAAAAAAAAGATGATTTGAAAATTTCAAAAGAAAAATACACTTTGAAAGAAAAATATTCTTTGCAGATTATTCGTTTTAATATATAAATTGCAAAAAAATTGAAAAATATTTTTTATATCCTTATAATTGAAGTAGATATTAAGTAATTATTTTTAAATGAACCAGTACGTATTTATTCTATTTTTTCCCTTTACTCTTATCTCTAACTTAATAATAATATAGCACAGTAGTGTTAACTGTTTAACTATCGCGTTAATTCGGGACAATAATTCCTTAGGAAAAAATGTGGATCTGATTTCGACGTATGCATTCATAAAAATAGGTACACATATTGGCCGAAAGTGTCATATTACAAATAAATAAACGTAGCGTCGTGTCGTGTCTGAATAAAAGAAGAGAACAGCTCTTACTTTTATTTCGTGCTGCTTCGTTAACCGTGTGGTAAATATTTTGAGAATTGTTAACCTTTTATCGATTTTGTTCGTTTCATTAGATTTATAGAAAATTGGAGAAAGAAAAATATTTCTTATGATAGAAAAATGTTTATATTTTGTTTTTTGTCATGTAGAGTTGAAATATATTATTATACAGGTGTCGATATAAGTGATGGATTTAAGTCAATGGCTCATATTAAATGATGTTTTAGTGAATTGCCATTGACTTAAATCCATCACTTACTAAATTATAATATGTTTCTTCATTGTTTAAAATTTTTAGAAGCATGTATAATGTATAATAATAAATTTCAGAAATTGATAATTTTAAGATAGTTAAACAGATTAACATCTATATGATATAATTTATAATAGAAATAATTTTTGTTCAATTTTAATTACAACCTCTATCGCAACTTTATGATTTGATTATAATTGAACATATGATTATAGTTCTTCTACTATATAATTAAATAAATTATAATAGCATTTTTATAATTGTGTATATAGATGAATATTTTATTAAATTGAAATTAAATTTAAGAAAAATTTATGGTTTTAAAATATATTTTTATTCTTTAAAAAAAATTGAAAAGAATTATTTTTGATACAAATCCTAACTAACTTTTATTAGATTCTATTAACTTAAAAATTGAACTATTATATATCTCTACTCGTTATAATGGAAAATAGAGTTTTTAGTAATTGTCTACGCAGTATAATGAATGCATTATAAGTTCAGAATCATTATAAGTTTGGAATCGGTCCAGGATTGTCCTCATAATGTAAAATCCGGAATATCATAAATCACCATCCACAAATATAATAGAACTTACATTTATCGATCTCTATGATAAATAATTTTCGATAATAAATTATTATATTATTCACCTACTCTTAATATTTCATAATATCTATAGAAACGTAATATTTTTAGCACTCGTAACTTTTTTACGATATTCAATGAAATTTTCATTTTATTGATCTTTGATTAATTATTTTTTTATTATTCAATATACAAAAAAAAAAAATAAATTGCACTATAATATTATAAATAAAATAATATTTTTAAAAAATATTTTTCATTTTGAAAAAATATTATTAAAAGATATATTGATTTAAATTATATCAATTTAATTATTATTTAAATATATATTATTTAATTGATATATGTAATTTTTTTCTAATTTTTAAAAAAATTCATTTTTCTGTTAAGAAAAGTATAATAATAAATTTATCTTAAGGTTGAAAATTTAAATATTTGAAAAAATTTTTGTTATATTGTTTCATTAAGTGCAAGAGAAATTAGTGTATCGTTTAAAAAAAAAATTAGTTTTATCTATAATTGTTTTTACTTTACATTATCTATATCTCTTTCTATTCAATTATATCAATTTGTTGTTAAAATTGGAGGATAATACAAAAATCTATGCAAAATCTTTTTTTCAAATAAAAAATGCTATTGATAACTTTTATATTATATCTTTAAAACCTATAAGTAATCTTAATGAAAAATTTTAATTTTTTATATAAAAAAACTATATATAAAATATATATAAAAACTATATAATAAGATATAATAATATAATTTGTTCAAATATGCATAAAAAAGTAGAAATAAAAAATTCATAAACGATTAATTTATTTTATTAATAAATGTATATATGTATATTATATTTAAGAATAGAATCTCTCTTGGACACAGTAAAATGAATAATATCATAAAAACAATGTGACATAAATTTCTTAAAATGTTTGAACTCTCTCTTCTCTAACTGTCATTTTCATTTTCTATGTTTCTCATTCTCATAAAATATGAAATGAGTTTTATTTATTTTACAATTATGCATTGAGTTGGTGGAAAAGTTTATATAAATTTATATAGGTTATATAGGTTTTTTGACCCTGATAAGATAAACAATTTGAAATAGTTTATGATATATTTTTTTCCAAGGATGAAATTCTATGTTAGAAAATATTATATTATTATATAATATCAACAGTAAATTAAGCAATTATAGTAGTTAAACATAAAACAAAACAATTTGTGTCTCTAATTATTCGCATAAACATAGGTATTAACATGGGTAATTATTTAATTTTATTATCTTAAAAATATATATATATATATATACAAAGTATTTAAATTTCAAGTAATGAATTTCTGAAGTATATCTGAACATATTTTTGAAATTTTTGGTAGCATATAATTATTAATACACATTCGATACTTATAAAAAACAAAAGATTGAAGATATATTGATTACTCATGTTAATTGCAAAGGATTGAGATTTTGGGTAAAATCGATAGATACTTTAAGTAAAATTTAATTTTTATATAAAAAATAATGTGAATAAAATTACAGTTATAAGTTCTTTTTAATTATCCTAATAAGAATAATAGATAATAAGAAAACATATAAATGCTTAAATATATGTGTCGCAAAAAATATTTAAAAAAATTTATATTCGGATATTATTATCAATAGATTTGTCGAAAGTATATTTATTGAATTCATTATTAATTTTGTTAATATAAAAATTATGCCAATATGTATAAAAATAAAAAAAATTAATAAATAATTAATAATAAATAAATTTATATATATTATAAAAGAAATTTTATTTTTGATAATTAATTTTTTATATTATTAAATAATTAAATAATTTATTTGATACAAGAATGCCGATTATATATCAGTCTCCCAATAAAAATTTAAATGTAATTCTTCTAGAAAAAATATTATATGAATAATTTATCAAATTTGATCGAATATTAAATTATAAGATAATGCCATCTAGGGATAAATGTTAAAATTATTAATATACATGAATTGGTAAATGTCTTAAAAAAATTTATTAATAGATTACATAGCAATTTTACAATATTTATATAAAATTATTTAAGTTATTTAAAAACTAAATACATGTGTACATTATAGTAAATTGATTTATTGATTTTCTGCATTTACAAAATTCAAACGAAGCATTATTTTTCCACCAACCCAATTTATATATATACTTGATAATTTTATAAAATTAAAAATATATTATCCACAAAAAATAAATACACGATTTTTTTTAATCTCGACGTAAAACCGTTTGTTTTTCTCGCGATCAAACACGATTTTGCCGCCCAATACTCAATAGAACAATCGAGATCTCGACTCTTTCGAACTACAAGACTGTGCCAAGGTGGCGATACAATTTTGGCGATGATATCGGAAGCGCGTCGATCGAGCCGATCGAGAACTATCTCTTAGCCTATTTTCTGAATCATCGAACCACTTTATTAATCCTTTCGAAACTGTATCTGCTTTTCATTCTAACTTCTTTAATCCCATTTTTCTCTTCCCCCTTCCATTAGCATATTTTATTTTGATAAACTGTAAATCTTCATACTTTATTTTCGAAAAATAATAAATTTTCATTCTACAATGAAAGTCGAATAATTGCACGAGATAATTTATGGCGTAAGTGTCAAGTTGTCATCTTCACCATTAAGGGGAATTTTTCGTATATATATAAATATATATATCGAAATTCATAAATATATTTATTTTGATTTTTTTTCTTTTCTATTAAATATATTTTCTATATCTATCTTTTCTATCTATTTTCATTCTTTTCTTCTATGTACGGTAAAATAGAAAGAAAAATTTATATTTTCCATTCCCACAGAGATTAAATCTGATACAAATCAACAACTTTTTATCGCACGATTATACTTACATCTGTCTTCAATTGGAAAAACGAGAAAAAATATCGCAATGATATTATCACTCTCTGTAAATTGTGTGTATATATATATATATGTTAAAATTCAATTCCATTACACCATAACTTCGATTTTTTTGTGTAGTTATCCAACTTTCACTGTGTACTTTATCTCAACAAACAAAGATTCGTCCGGCGATTTTTGAGCGGATCGCAACAACACGGTCAAGATGCGCGGTATAACGCGACATCATGCGACGCGATGAGACACTACGCGACTTGACTCAACGCGACTCGACACGATGAAACAACGCAAATGCGAGAAAGAAGAAAACGTTTTTGCGACAGTGTTTTGTAAAAAAACGATTTTCAACTTTCTATCGATGCGTGGTCGGGAAAAAAATATCGTTTGACGTTTTCTTCGTGAAACTGGTTCGTGGTTAATTTACTCACGGTGAATATTCTGCGATGTTCCAGCATGTAGAAACGATGTTGCAAACTACCTTCTTTGTCGGAAAGTCGGTCCTATTTAAAGCTTTGAACGGTGATTCTGCCCGAAAATAACACAAAGGGAACGCGCGGGAGTGTGCGCAGCAAATCATCCGTTCGCGACAACTACGCAATTTTCGCTTCGAAGAACTCGATTCGTATCGAGTACTTTGATCTCTCATTGATGCCTGCCTCGTGTTTCGATCTTTGATTTTCTGTATTTCGATTTACGGTTTTTCATTCCAATTTTCTCGCCGTTTTCCACAATCTCTCTTTTCTTCTCTTCACAGCTTGCTTCGTATCCCCTCGAGATCAATTTGACTTTACGAAATTGACGTTTATGTACGGTAATTCGCATTAACATTCGGACATCATGATATGCGAAAAATTATTGCTTTATAATATTTACTTGTATTTGTATTATTGAACTGATTATTTTTTTTTTTATTTTTTTCTACAAATTTTTCATTAAATTTTATATGATAAATTATTATTTATACAATAAAAATACATGTAATTTTTCATTTACATGTTTTCATAAAAGGGAGTGTATACAATTTTTGAATTCGTATAGGACAATGGCAAAAGTATATAATATAAATTAACAATTAAATAGTAAATATATTTATCAAATTACTGCCTATATGAGAAATATAATTAATAGAAATGTTATTTATTTAATGCATATAAATTAAATAACAGAGAAATTTAAAATCGTAAAAATATTTATTGCAATTTATTTATTGTAATCACTTATTAATAAATCATTATATTCAAATAGGATTCTAATCACTAATGAATAAACATAATTTATAAACATTGTAAACATAAATATAAAATTTATTTAATTTGATTACTATCCAAATTTTTTTTTTAAATTTTTGAAATTTTCAATTTTTCCATTATTTAATTTATCATTTATTGAATTAAAATACATTAAATAAATAAATTTATTTTTATAATTACAAGTGTTTTAATAATATATTGAAAAAAATTAATTTAATTTTTAATATAACATTATTATAAACAAATATATAAAGCAATAATCTCTCACATAATAGCGTGTAAATTAATATGAATCATTATATAAAATTAATACTAAATATCTGAATCGTTAAATTCATATATTTATAGGATATTAATATATTTGTTTATAATAAATTTAATAAATATATTTATTGAGTTTATATATTATTATAAATTTATTTATAAATTTTGAGATTGATTTTAAAAATTAAAACAATGTTGATTAAAACTTTTAAATTATAAATAATTAAAATTTGCATTAGAACGAGACGAAGACAAAGTGAATTAATGGTATAAAACTATCTCAATCTATTTCCGTCTCGTTTCATCTAATACAAATTTCAATTGCTTCATAACCTAATAAATAAAGCATAATCGACATTTTTGTATACGAACGTTTGCGTTTATTTTGATCTTTAGAATCAATTCTTCGATAATGTTATACAAATATATTCAAACTAATCATCTCTTGCATGTAATATTCGCGCAATATTAATATGAATATAATTATCCTAATAATTTTTTTCTACTTCAACAATTAGTTGAATCATATTTTTTTATGTATATATTGAATCAATTTCAAAATCGAAACTAAAAACTTTTAAACAAATCGCGACATCTACATTTTATATACATGTACTTATATCTACGCGCATGCGCACGCGGTATTTATTTAGATGAAAGAAAAAGGGGGAAATTTGCAGACGAATTTCTGTTTCTAAGAAAAGGCTAAGATTCGAGAAACAACGAAAACGCAACTGTTTCGCATTTTCTTTCTCTGCCAACAATATAGTCAATGGTAAAACCCTTTAATCTTCAGCATTAACCCATTAACAATTCAATATTAATTTGAAAAATTCATTAGCTAATATTACAGCATTCAATTAAGAATTCTTTATCATATCTTACAATATTTAATATTCAAATACATAGTATTCAAATAATTTTATTTTAAATTTTTTTTCCTTAAAGTTTGTTTAGGTTTATAAATGGTTAAATCGTTATTTAAAAATTGTGAAACATATATATATATATATTGAAATTAAAGTTATATTAAACTTTTACATTTTTTTGATAAGTTTTTATTTATAGAAATTATTGTTCGAAATTATTTTTGAAAATTAAAGAATTAAATGAAATAAAAATTTTAATTAAGCAAAAGTTGATTTGAAAAATACTTAAAATAAACATTTAGCTTACAGAAAATTAAAATAGATTTTATTAATAGCTTCTATTAAAAAAATTTACGTTTTAAAAATATGAATAAAAGAAATTAAGTACAATCGACTTTTACAAATTTTTAAAAAACAAGTGTTGCATCATTGTAATATTGACTAAAGATTTAATTTAAATAATATCAATTCAATTCAATTTCATCTTTGATTAACTTTTACTTCGTGATTTTTCAACAGCTTTTCTTTTAGATCGTATTGCACTAATGAAATTAAATAAAATTAATAATAATAGTCAAAGATATAATGTCTAAAGATTGAACATGAATTTCCTATTCATTTATTTTTTATCGAGTAGTTTTAATATTGTATGGTTATCATTGTCATATAATATTTATTTGTATTATCATTGCAAAAAATGTCTTTTTTTAAATTTTTTATTGACAATTTTTAATTTTTTATTAGAAGTATATTGTTATGATCTTTGAAAAATAAAAAACAATTAATTAAAATAAGATATAAATATATATTAAAATATAAAATAATTTAATACTTTTCAATAAGGATTTGTAATTTCATTTATAATGAAATAGGCATATTATTGAGAAATTCTTTCGAAAATTAATATCTTACCTTATGTTTTATTCACTAATTATTTAAAATACAAATTATCTTACCGGTTTCAATAACCTTCAGATATATATATATATATATATTGCCAAGGTCAATGCCCTGAGTAACTTTGCTTATAAAGTGATCATAATTCTTAGCTTAAAATTCGAAATGGTTGATTTCGACAGTTATGCGAGAAATTTCAAAATATCTTTTTTTCTTCTATCAATTTTTATTAATTTGACTATGAAAGTAAAAAACATGACATTTTGTATAAATCATGACAAAATGGGATAGAGTAACTGAATTCGAGATAGATAAATCCTTTTACCTGTCAAAAAATTTTGTAAAAATGAAAATATATAAATAATTTTGTGATATATAATCTCTTTATATTTGATCTCTTTTTATTAATTTAAAAATATAAAAAATATTTTCTTATTCTAAACATTATTTATTATATTTTTAAGATTTAGAATAAGTTTGGAAGATTTGGATCTAAATTATATAACTTTTAAGATTATTTTTAAGATAATTATTACTTATAAGATAAATTATTATGGATTAAATTAGATAATTTTGTAAAAATATCTTTAATATTATATATTATATTTTTAGAATAAATTTGGATTAAATTTAGATCTGACTTAAATTATAGCTTATTTTGATTAAGATTATAAATTATTTTGGATTAAATTTAGAAACAGATTTAAATTACGTATATATTATTTTTTTTAAGTCGACATTCAGCTAGAAATTTAATAGATTTGATTCATGAAATTTGGTATGTTTGATTTCGAATTAAAAACAAAATTAAACATAATCTCATGATAATTCAAGCCTATGTTTTGTTCAAAATAAATAAAACTACGATCTCAACAGGTTCAATCTCTAATTTAAATTTTTAATATTATAGTTAAATATATTCAATTTCAAATAACAATATGATATATGATTTTATATAAATTGTAATTATCTTATTATTTATTATTTAAATTATTCATACTATACCAATTATCTCAACAATGTTGAAATATTTTTAACAATCTATATTTAATACTATATTTTTGTACGATATTTTGAAAGTATTGTATTAAACAATAATATTAGCAAAGATCCAAATGCAATTCATAAAGTTATAATATGTATTTAAAAAAAACATATTAAACATGTCTTCTGTAACTCTATGTATCTATATTTAATATATAATATATATACATAATATTATATATGATAAAAAATTTTTATAAACATGATAATCTGAAATGTTTCTTTCATCTTACACCTTTAAAGTAAAAAATATAATTCATTATATAAATGAATTTATCTTTTGGTATACTTTCATATGGCATAAAAAATATGTAGCATTTCATTTAAAAAATTTAAGATCATTTTAGTTCTTCAGAATATTGTATAATATAAAAAAATTAATGTATGTTATCATGTTAATCATAGAAAATTACAAAAAATTTTTTCGTTTTTATTTTTTTTTTCTTTTTTTTCTAATACTTATTATTTATGATAATAAAACACATGACATATTTTGAAGGATTTAACATAGGTTTGAATTAAGCGTGGATTATGTTGAGTTTTAATGTTTAAAAGATAGTTTAATTTATTTTACATCTTTGACAAGATGTTATAAGAAGTAAATAATATTATTTTTTAAAGTTATAAGTCAAAATCAAATCAATCCAAATATTAATTGTTTAAATTGCATATCTAACTCTACCTTAAATTTAAAAAAACTCAAACCTACCAAATTTCACTCAAATATTTATTAATATAATATATGACAGAAAATATTTTTTTGATAAAATGGCGATATATACATTTATATATATATATATATATAAGAAAAAGTTATTTAGAATGATGACCTTGACAACATATTTCAAGAACATTGAAATTGATGAGATAACTACTATTCTAAATAATTTATCTTTTCGTTTTGTGTTTCTTTATCTCGTTCAAATAAATCATTAGAAAAATAATAAAGGTACATATTTTTTTTTTTCATTAAAATTTTCATCTTAACATTTGGTTAAAAGATAAATTAAGTGTACAAAAATATTATAAAATCGTTTCAAACCTTATAATGTAAGTATTTTATAGTTGAAAATATACGTTACATCGATATAACACTGAACGTTAAAGATGAAAATACAGAGCAAATAATATATATAAATGTCAATTTCATTCAATTAAGTAGAAAAGAAGAGATCATAATTATCCATCAACTTCGAAGAATAATTAAAGAAAAAAATAAACTTTGTTCTCTACGATAAAATATATTTCTATTTTATCCGTTTAAAAAAAAGAAACATGCAAATTATGTAGAAATAAAATTATACGTGATTATTTGCATGAACAATGTTCAAATATATATGTTTTACAAATAGTTGACAAAAACTGTTTTTATAATTACTGTTAAAAAAATGGAGTTTTATAATAAATATTATTCTTTCAACAAAATTTTTGTATTTTTTTACCTCTTAACGTTCAATGTTGTATCTACATGCATTAAAACAGAGAGAATATCTTTTAGGCCGGTTCAATATCAATATTTTCGATTTCAAAATAAGTATAACATATATATCATAATTTTAAGACTAACGATTTAAAAAATCCGGATATTAAAGGATTAACCATCGCAAAAACTATATCTACATATGTACTTATCATTAGAAATCGATTTCTATTGATTCGAATTTTACGTATTCCTCTCTACACCTCGGCTGCTCCGCTGTTCGATATCTAACGATCCTACTTTCGATTCGTTTGCAATTATTGAAAAATATATATATATATATACATATATATATATATATATATATATATATATATATATATTACTANAA